CAAGGAGTACAGCCAAGGCTTCTGCTTAAACTCAATTCTTGAACGCTATATCTTTTTTTCACACCCAACTTGACTGGAATTTTGGGAGAGTTCACGTTTTCTCAAGTCATTTTTGCTGCCTCATGATGACATAGCTCTGGATCTGAGGATATATGTTAGGAATCTTAGTAGAATAGGAAGCATGGTAAGAATGAATGGCCTTGTTTTATATGGAGGACATGGTTTTCAAAGAAATAAGCTCTCTATGGTCCGATTCTCATTATGTTTTTTCCTTTGTTTCTTGACATACGGAATATATTCAAAATGCTATTGCAGTTTTATTTTGTTGATATTTCCATCTTTAGTTTTTTTTGTTCGTAGTACGTAGTATTTAACCATTTACTGAAGTCAATGGAAACAAGGGAATATAAAAATTCCAAAACAGGACTGTCATGTTTTGGCAGTACCGGACTTCAAACATGGCAGTATTTTTCAAACATGGTAGTAATTACTCATATTTTGGGAATAAAAAACATGGATGTCCTATTTTGAAATTTTCAAACTGTTTTAGTCCTATTTCGAGAACTTTCCCTTAATAATAATGTACAATCAACTATTGGTTTTGGCTTTTGTATCACGATTTCGGCAATAAAACCTTTATTCCCTACATAACCGAAGAACAACTTAAAGTTGTAAACAGATTTTGATACTTGGTATGCTATATTTATTTGCATACGTATTCGGTATGTAGTATGTAAGGATATTTCATTATAAAATAGACAGTGATAGAGTATATTCTCAAATACCCAAGTCAATGCCCTGCCGGGGCCGACCTTGATCCATCTGAGATCGGCCCAACATTAGATCCCCAGATTATCAAGATAGGACCAAATCCGAGCTCGACCCCAGGTCTAACCTCGGTTACGGATATGAAGTCAAACCAAAGTCAACTGAAGCCAACTGGGATAAGGGAACCATCACTATCAGACAAATAGAAGACCAGGGTCAAATCCTCCGAGATAAGCTCACTTTACCCGAGCCCCGAGCCCGCCTATGGAGCTCGGGGTCTCACTAGCCAACTGTGGACTTAGATATAGTCATGGACTCGGGACCGGGACCGGGTTACCACCGGGTCCGGGCCGGGTCGGGCCGGTTCCAAAGTTTTTTTTTTTTGCTTTTCTTATTAACCCCCGACCCCCCCTACCCCCAACCCCCCCCAAACACCCAGCCACCCAGGCCAACTCAGGAACAAGCCCAAAACAATGGGAAAACAAAAAAAGGCTCGAACCGGGCCCGGGCTGGTTCCAAAGAAGGGGCTGAACCGGGACCACCTTGCCCTAACCCCGAGACTGGGTCTAGGCCCTGATTCAAAACCAGTACACCGGGCCCACACAGTACCGGGTCGGGCCGGTTCCCAAGCCAGGTGGCCCGAACCGGGTCTAACACTACTTAGACATCTCAGCAATCAAGTATCAAGCCGCAGCCACGTCACTACCACTATACTAGGGTCACGCCATCATGGCAGTCACCACAAGGAATATTACGGATTATACATGTGTGGCACACATGTGGGTTCTAGTATAAATCTGTTACGCACCGTATCAATCAGCCAGTTGTCCCAAATATCTTTCCAATCACATTTACATGTGTCGTCATGTTATTAGACTTGTACATCTTTTTACTTGTTGGCCGAGTATTTTTCCCTTAGTATAAATATCACATTCCAGCTTGTGGAAAGGGGTTCGATTTTTGTTGTGAGAACTTACTGTTACTCTGCCCAATACTCTACACGATCTTACTTAGCACTTTTCAGTCTCTTCTATATTCCCGAATTCCGGCTACCCCTAGGTCGGCGATCCATCAGACAGAGACCAGACGTTTATCAGACCAGCTCAGACCAGACTAACAAATTTCAATCCAGGTAAAAACATCCCAAGTACCCAAACTTGTATAATATACTCCTTTTGTCCCTATTTAGGGTTGGTTTGCAAATGCTTTTAAAAAAGCACTTCTTGTTGAAGGAAATTCCGTGTAGTGTGCTATCGTGTATATAGAACATGTATTAGGATCATTCTATGTAAACTATTATGTATTATGGGCTCATTGGCCCGTCTCTGTAATCCATTCTCCTACAACACGTTATCAGCACGAAAGCTCTAACCCTAATGTATCCGTTCTCACCTTTTGGTTTTAAAAAGCACTTATTTTACCAAACACTACCAACTTTTATTTTTCTCGGCTTTCGTGTCAAAAGTGCTTTTACTTTTTCTATTACACAAAAAGCACTTATTTTACCAAACATTACCAACTTTTACTTTTCAAAAACACTTTTTTCTCAAACACTATCAACTTTTATTTAATCACTTCTCCCCATTTCATTAAAAAAACACTTTTTTTAAAGCAGAGGCTGTTGCAAACATACCCTTAATGTTCCCATTTCAAATTGCACACATATTAACAAAGTGACATTGTTTGACACTGTTTAGACACTTTTGGTAATATTTGACACTCTTTAGCACTGTTTTGTTTACTAAATAAGAAAAGAGGATCTTTTTAACACTACAAAAAAACATCGAAATAGGCACGGACTTGGCACGGATTGGGCGAGTTTGGCACGGACTGTAACTTATTTTTGGCACAGCGCCGTGCCAAATAGCTGGTGACAAAACGACTTTGGCACGGAATTTGGCACGGATTTAACGCATCCGTGCCAAATCCGTGCCAAATACCCTACGAATTTTGGCATATTCGTGCCAAATCTGTGCCGAAATCGTTGTTTTTTTGTAGTGTAAGGGACGTTCAAAAAAAGAAAGTTAGAACATTATTAAATAGGAACGAAGGGAGTATATAAAAGTTATCCTAAATTCTATTTTTTTAAGAGTATCCTGAATTCTATATAAAAAATTATCTTAACACCCATGATCATATATTTTTTGTTTGACGAATGTAATTTTATAGTTAAGTATACAATTTAAAATATTCTAAGCATTTATGAAAATAAAATTAACATTTTCCATTGTAAAATAAATATTATTACTCCTCAATTAGTTGAAATTTAAAATTTTCACCCACTCTATTTTGATTTTATTTTATTCTATTACACAATTTTCCAATACGAAATATTATACTCCATAAGATTTGTTTCGGATTAAAATTATAAGATCTGACTTTTTATACGTACTCCGCTAAGTAGCACGGAAACGGGAAACGGGAAACGTGAAACGGGAAACGGGAAACGCGAGAGACGTAATTTCTAAAAAATATAGGACACGAAACGTGGGGAAAACGCGTAAATATTATAAAATATAAGGTTATATTTATAAATCTTTTTTAATATATGTATACAAGTTTTTCCATATGCACATGTTTTTTTAATATAATTTGTTTAGTAATCAAATAATAAAATCACTCTACATGCTCGAATTTAGATATTATTTCATATTAGTACATAATTAAACAAAAAATGTACGGAGTAATACATTTCTAGCAATACATTGCGTTACGAAATGTAACAAGTGTTGCCGCTGAGAAATACCACAAAAATTCACTATAAAAAATTCTTTTCCACCACAGAATCTTTTGAAAAAGAAAAAAATTGGAATCCAAGGTTTCCGAAACGTAGTGAAACGAGTTTCCAAATTTTTCTTAATTACGGAAACGGCCCCGAAACGGGAATTTGAAGTTTCCGAGTTTCCGAAACGCTTCCGAGTTTCCGAGTTTCCGATAAAAACAAAAAGGGAAAAATTTTTGCTAAAATTTTTGAAAATGGAATACATAAACTTTTCAAGTTTGTTTTTTGTTTTTTCAATGTTTATGTATTCCATTTTTCCTTCTTTTTTTTCTTCCGTTTATTATTTCATTTTCATTTTTATATACTTTTCGAATTAGTTTTCTTATAAAATATCTTTTATTCACTGTACTACAATTCACTGCAGCTAGAGAGAGAGGAGTTTTGTATTGGGAGTGTTATTGATGCAGTTGTGAGCCAAGTAATGCTGTTGATGAGAGAAAGAGGCCTGAAACTTATTCACGAAATTCCTGGAATCATCAAGACAATGGCAGTGTATGGCAATCAATATAGAATCCAACAGGTTCTGGCTGATGTGTTGCTTAACATGGTACGTCGTACACCACCTCTAAAAGGGTGGGTACAAATCGATCCATGTGGATAAAGGTATGGTACAAGTACCATAGAATCTACCTTTTAAATATGAATCACATCAAATGGTCGTGTTGAGATCGGTTGATCTCACGATATAATTGACACAATTTGGAACTCCAAGGATTTCGTTAAATTTCATGTGTCCCCAATTAAGAGTCAATTTCATAGCCAAATTCAATTGACGCCTCGAATGAGGTGATGATATTAGTTTCTTACTTTTAGCAATTTAACTTTTCTATTTTCATATTTTTACTACACCAAATTGTAAAATTGGTACAAGAAGTATCTAACTAATTTTTGTTTTAATTTAAATCTCCCAGGATCTAAGATAACAGGATGTAAATGTGCATTAAAAACATTTACAAAAAACATTTTATTTATCGTCAAAACAGATATTTGGTGGCTAGAGTTGTGACATTAATTTCATAAGAAAATAGTCATGATTTACAATTTTTACTTGATATTTGGTGGCTTCTTCATAGCTTAGATTAAAGATATGAGAGCCAACTTACTAAAAAATAAACTTCGTGTGAGATAAAGGGAAATTAAAGATGTTGTCTTCGTAGAATAAAGGGAATTTTGAGTTTGCACCCCACTTTTTGGGTTTGGGTGATATTGGACTTTGCAACTCATTTTCAAAACTTTTAGACTTTGCACCCTATCTACAACATTTTGTGAAGAAAAAATCTTGAATGGGGTGCAAAGGCAAAGACATTTTAGGGGAAATATGATGCAAAGTCTACCGACCCCAATATCTTTTGAGACTAAGGCTTGGATGTTGTTGTTGTCATGATGCAAAGTCTAAGAGTTTGAAAATGAAGTGCAAAATCCAATATCACCCAAAAATCGAGCTGCAAAGTCAATATATCCCTAGAATAAAACCATTGATGCCTTTTTTGAAACATTGGAACACAGTGAAATGTTCTAATGCAATCTGCACCAAAATTCTCAATATATAAAGCATCACAACCAAAATTTCACTACCATGTTTCTTATTTTCCTTTGAAAAGTGATAAAAAGACAATTCTAAAAGAAACCACTACATGAACCAATGTTTGTTGCTGCAAAATATCATGTGGAGTGGAGAAAGGAAGGTGCCCTTAAAGCCTCTAAGACCACGCATTAGCATCAACCCAATCAAAAGCTACAGGGCCCAAGAAAGCATCAGGTATGCCAAATGAAGTGACCAAAGCAAGGGCATGTGGCCTTAGCTCCCTGCAGAGTGTTGCCACCTCTTCCCTAACCGCAGTGGCATTATCAGCTGTTATGCATCTATATCGTAGGAATGTAATATCTTCATCCAAACTAACCATAACAAACATTGATCTCACGAGCCCCAGTACGTTCTGCAATGAAATTGGCAACCAAATCATAAACTGAAAAACATACCCCACTAGTACTTCTGGGCATTAAAGCCCTACAGGCAAGAAGAAAATAAATACAGGAAAGCAAGCAACTTTATTATTTTGGATGTTAGTAACTTGCAAAATAATCAATTACTACCTTCGTCCGGGTTGACACGGTTATTAAAAAAGTGAGTTTATGTGGTTGATATTGAATTGATAAAGAAAGAATAAAGTAAAAATGATTTAGAACCACACAAACTTTACCAAATTTGGTATGGGACAACCTTAGTGAGATTTCCCGAAAAAGAAAAAATGTGACAATTTTAGAGGGAGGGAACATTACCCAGCATGAATGATCATAATAAGTGAAAGAGCGAAATGAATAAGTACCTTAAGCGGACCAGAATGTACAGAAGCTTCTGCTTCTAAAAATGCACGGTAAATTGAAAGGTCAGCAAAGGCTTTGCCTAAGTCTCCAGCAATCTGATGACTCTGGGTAGAAAAGGTAAAACATTTTGGAGTGTTAATAAGAGTTATGATGCACACAAGAGGAAATCTTATAAGTAGGCTTTCTGTACTCTTGACTGAACCTAGCTTAAACAAACCAAATTAGCCCGGGGAAAAACTGAACCATGTGTAATTCGGTTTTAGTTTGTAAATTTCTCTCAAACCTCAAAACCAAATCAAATCAAACTAAACCGTTGAAGCTCATAAAAATAAAAAACAGCACACGAGCCAACAAAAGTTAACCCGTTTAAACTTTAAAACCAAACAAAACTGAAGATAAAAAAGTCATGCCCAAAATACCCACCCCTACCAAATAGAGCAGTAGTAACTTACCAACAAAAGAGCGCTTTCTTTACTTTCACCGCGAGCTTGGTGTTCTGAAACTTCAGAAGCAAAGCGGTTCAAAAGTTCCCGCTCTCTCAGGCAAAAAATGTCATTCTGAAAAAGAAAAAAGGGGTTATATCCCACAGATTTATATCTCTATCTCACTATTAGGGAGCAGAAAACTTTGATTACTTGGAACTGTATGCTCCTTAAGGTATCACTTGAAAGCTTCAATGGTATGACAGGAGAAGATTCATTCATGTGTTCCAATCCCAATTCTGCAAATGGGATGCCTTTCCTTTGGCAAGAAACAAATACTGACAGAAGTGCCTTACTAACCTGGCCCACAGACGTTCAATTTGATTAACTTAAATTTCCAATAAAAATATGCAGGAATCAAGAGAAAGATGTTACCATGGGTAACATCTTCAGTGTGTACCACAAACATTAAATTGTTACCACATGTAACTAGAAATACAGCCAATTATGACAATCCAGACATTGGAATACCACAACTATGTAAACAAAATGACATTTGATTACTCACTTGTTGCATAAGAACGTTGTTGTCTCCCTCAAATGTAGAGTTTACATCATAATCACTTTTTGATTGGCCGATACGATTCTCAGTTCTTATGCCTTGCCCTCCACATGCTTCCCGACATTCCTGATACAATTAACATATTAATTTTAGAACATCTAGAAAACATAAACAATAGTAAAAAGTTTGTGCTAATACCTGAAGTGTTCGCATATTATGCCAGCTTGAGGTAGCCTTAAGAGCACTTGAAACAACATGTAGTGTTTTGTTTACTTCCGGTGTCCTCTTTACATACATCATTTTCAAGGAGGTAGCAGCTAAACTCATGGCATATCTGCAGCGTATGAACGTGGCATGGGACAAATAATGTAGAAATTATACAGTAATTTATAAAGTTAAACAAAGAAACAGGTTTAAGAAACCACGAAACAATTTGAGAGACACTTACGTTTTGGCAAGAAGAGGCAATAGCCGTCTTTGATGACTTGGGTAATCAAGCAATAATACTTCAGGACCATATGGTGTGACGGAGAATGCTCTCCTTGTTAAAGAGTATCTTATCGCAGTTGCTATTCCCACCTGATACAGTAAAAACATGATGGTGACTTATAACAGTTTCTCACCTAAACTGTTGGTATGGTTACACGCCCAGTGGTAAAGACAATGTACAAAAATATGAGAAAATAGAAAAATGTTCACCTTTGCAGCATAAGTTACAACTGTTGGTATGGTTACACGCCCAGTGGTCAAAGGAGCCATCAGTGCTCCAAAGCGCTGAAGTGTAATTTAATCTATTATTCACTCAAGTTGAAAATATAAAGTAAAGGAACACAATCATAAAATAGAGACCTGATCATATGATAATTGTGCCATTTGTTTCTGTTTTCCTCCACATAAATACAAAACCACAAAATCATATTAGGAAGGCCTCCTGATACCACAAACTTGACGAAGTACTGGGAAAAAATAATAATTAAAGGAATACAAAATAGTTTTAGCATTAATGCTTAGAAGAAATGAAGTTACTTGATCAGGGTCCTTGATTGCAGACACATACTCCCCATCAGAAGTAACATCTGCAACTAAATTCAGCAAATTTTCCCTAGGAACCCGAAGATTATCAAACCTGGACAAATAAAAAACAAAAGAACATTGATCCATGAGTACTAGAAAGTGTAAATACATAAAGAAAGTTTAAGGGTCCATGGAAGTTGGAACCAATTAAATGTTAGGGAAAAAAATATGATAAAATTATAGGGATAAAACACAATGAATCTTTTTTGCTTTTTAAGGATAAATTTTATTAATGAAGGAGAAAAACAAGTACATTGGGGATGAAAAAAACAAATGGAAAATGGAAGCAAACTAAAAGAACGAAACATAACCCTAACTAATGCCTAACCCAAAGTGAGCAAAGAGAAACCCCCCTACAAGCCCTGACTTAGTCAAAGCTGCTGAAATCCATATGTGATTAAAACACAATGAATCATTTTAGTATATCTGTTGAATATAATCTTGTTGTGTGTATTCTAATTACACAATGACAACGAAAGCTGAGTAGGTTTAAAATTTTACTTTTCAAAAATAAAATTGATTTCCCGTTATATTCATCAAGATGACATCAAGCATAAAAGCCACTTTTTTCAGGTTCTAAACATAGACCAGAGAATAAGATAATGTAAGTTGCACAATAAATACCATATCCGACCATTGTCCACTCCATTCAAACCAATCTTGTGACCACAGTCAGCTATACGAATGTTGGGACAAATGTTACCATTGGTGTCTCTTATCTGAGCAATAAATGCATGGACCCCTTCATTTTTACCGCCAATTAGAAGCTGTGAAAGAACTATTGTATGTGTTGCATGCTGTAATAGGATAACAAGAAGCAGTATTAAAGCATCACAACAAGAGTACTTAAGATCAGAAATCATTAAACCAGAAGTTGAAAGATAACTTCAGGCCCATTATCTAGTTTAGGGTTTTTGGAGAAAATAGCTGAATCTGCTGAAAAGAAATGTGTTTGTTAACATCCACTTCAGCCAAATAAGTAGGTCAAAGCAAGGTTCTTATGACTATTCTGCTCCGACGGGCAGAATAAGCTGAACCATGCTTACCAAAGAAGCCTTAGATTAAAAAAAGGTTATTTACATTAGCTGCTCCTCCTATCCAGTACTTTTGAGCCGACTCGCAGGGAGTGTTTATAATAAATTCTCTCGTACTTGGGTCGTAAGTTGTAACAGTTTCGATACCACGTACCTGGAAACACAGAGGAAACATTGTGTACTAACATTAAGGGATGGAAGACATGGTTTGGATTACTATAAACAAAAAGAAAGAAACACTTTTTTCACCCACATTACTTCCATGCCCTAATTCTGTCATTGCAAAGCAACCACTGACCACATAATTTTCACTATCTCGGAGCCACTTATCATGGTGGCGCTTTGTTCCCAAAAATTGGATCGCTCCACCCCTGACACAAGTTGATAATGAATTAAAAACAACCAAACAATGCAAACTCCAAGAGAGTCAAGAGAAGCTTCAGCAACATGTTGTATTAATCCGAAAAAGTTGGAGTTGGTGAATGGAAAGTGGAAGCTACAACAAAAATATAAGCCAAGTAAACTGGAGTGTTTATGCATTAAAATAACTTTAGTGTAAGAACTAGTAAATTTTAACACTTCTAAATTAAAGCACAAGTAAACTGGTATCTTGTTAGGGACCAGGCTTATTAGATACTAAGAATAAAGGACCGGGCCTAGTAGAGTATTAATAAGAATAAAGTGTATAAGTTTAGTATGAATAGAAGAGAGAGGGAAGGGTTTAGGAGGCTGTTTTAGACTTTGTCATTTGGGACTTGAGAAGATCGAGAGCTAATCTCTTTCTTTTGGGGGGCTTCGGCTCATTGGGGGCTTCGGCCAGTTTCTTGTTACGACTGTTCTTGTTCTTCTTCATCAATAAAATTCAGTTTGATTTCTATTTCTTTCTGTATAATTGTTCTGGATTCTTGGGGTCTCTATCATATCTTAAAACAGAATGAATTAACCTTTGCTTTCAGCAATCTGCATCAGCACATACAGAATGAGGGTAGGTAGTGTAATCTATTTGATCCATACTATAATATAGTCCCAACAGGAAGTGGACTATCACACTGTTACAGGGCAGTTTAAAATTTTTAGGAGTGGGGGACATGATCCCCATTTTTTTAAGTGAGCTTGTTCCAATATCTAAGCAAAAACATCTTGTTCCCAATAATTTTTTCCATGCAATATTTTTGTCGTTGTGAGTAGATAATGATATAAGCAATACTAAACTGATTAAAATAGAGCCAGATTATTATATACACCCTCGTTATCAAAATAAGCATTCCATTAGCCTTTTCATACAGTTTAAGATAACATTATAGGTTTATTATTTATTATACATATTACAAAGAGTAAGAGGTTTTTATACTATAACGTTATAGCACTATTTCATACTTTATTAAATTTAATAGAAATTGGACAATTATTTAATACAACCTGAAAAGGAAACAGAGACAATTATAATGATAAGGAGGAAGTATAATAAATGGAGTAATTGTTGGGCACATTTGATGGAGAGCATGTGCAGAGGATTCATTCTACATTTTTTGTTTCTGCTTTTCTCTATCTAATGTTTTTAAATTCGATATCATTTCTAGATTCATGTTAGTCAACTCTAAACTCTTAAGGGGTTTCAATATTTTTGTTGTAAATTGTATCTGCTCAAGGATAAATTTATATGAAGCAAACACGTTTCTGAAATCTAAATTTGTTTAATCTTTATATATTTTAATATCTATAATCATATTGTCCATATAAGGCCTTATTGAAAGCTACGATTTATTTCTATTATGTAAATGTCTTAACAAAAACGATGTAAGAAGTCTATTGTAATTCTAATTAATTTGACATCTAAATGACACTTTATTTAAGACAAAATAACTTGCTTTGTTTAATTTAATGTCTTATTCTTGAACACAAGATTGATTAAATTATTCATGAACCAAAAGATCATAATGGTTGTCAAATGACAGCTTGACAAAAATAAGGAAGTTTGTAATAGATTGATTAAAAAATAACTTTTTTAAAATAACTAAAAAAATTAAATTTTGACATTTATAACAGAGTATTAGTTAAGAAAAAAAAACTTTGTAAATAATACTCCTTCATCCCATAATTTCCATTCCATCCCATTTTGATACATTCCAAGAAATTCTCTCCATTTCCCTCTTCGAAAAAATTTGTATGACTAATATTTATTTAGTTTTTTCTTACTTAATCACAACCATACATTTCCACTTGGACGGACAGAGTACTCCGTAAGAATAATGGAAATCCCTAATTTGTAAGAAGTAGTAGCTATTGTAGTTGCATAAGTTAGGATGTTTTTTAATTGGATTGAAATTTTATGGTCCGACCTAGTAGTCTAGTCTGAAGTCCGATCTGAATTAGTCTAATGGTAGATATTTGACCTTTGTGTATTTTATAACTATCAAAATCTTATCAAAATCTTAGTCTAATCTGAATTAGTCCGATCTTAATAATGAGTCATTAATGACTGACCGAATGAGAATGACAATAAGCATACCAGAGCAAGAAATGGACCCCAAGTTTCACAGAAAGAGAGTGATCAAACAGTGAAGTGATTTCAAGGAAGGACAGCTTCCTCAGCTCAGCTTCAGGCCGATTATCAGTCAACCATCCACGGAAAAGCCCAATACCCGACAGAAACTCAATCCTTCTCATCGTCAACTCCCTCTGCTCCTCCATTGTCTGGTTGTAATCCGCACCCACAAACACTTTCCCGCCCCGAACAATCGGGTTGAAAAGCTTGCTCTGGATCATCACCCCGTAAATCCAATCCCTATCCTCCAAGTTGTGGCCGTCCATCAGCTTCCGCATCTCGGAAACGTCGAACGCGGCCGGTTTCTCGGACAGCTCCGGCGGGGTGTAGCTGAGGCACGGCGAGGATTTGAGGATCGAAGGGTCGCTTTGGTCGCTTTGTTGGTTGAGGTGTCCGCTTAGGACTCTGGTTCGGAATTCGACCTTCTCCGTGGTAGACTCCATTGTTGAAGATTTTCGTAATCAGAAGCGAATTATGGGGCAAAGGATGGATGAAGAATGGATACATTGCTTTGATTTGACTCAAATTTATAAGGCTTTGCTTTTTTGATTGGGGGAGAAACTGTAGAGCCTGGAGACTCTTTGTCTTCTCTTTTGGAAGAAGAAATTGGAGGAAATCCTTGGTCAAACTTTGAGAATATTAGTAGTTAGGCCATGTGCACCGACCATTACTACGGAGTACTTCGTAATTCTCTGAGCCTATACGGCTAACCAGTTGACCGCGTAAGGGAGAAGATGCAGAATTGCATGAGTACATTAAGGTCATTTTTAGAGCAAAAATGTTAAAATTTGATCTTTTGGAGCTTATCAGTGTAATAATCCTTGGCCAAGTTGACTTTTAGGTGGATTAATAAAGTAATAATCATATGATTTAAATTAGTGCTGAAGGGAGAATTAATTTTAACCAGATATTTCTTACTTTAAATGGAAATGACAAATATTTTTGGAACATCTAAAAAGGGAAATTTGGTCAAACATTTTCGGAAGTTCGGGACGGAGGGAGTATTATATAGACTTCAATTTTTTCTATTTTGTTTATTTTAGTCTCCTTCTTTCGTGTTTTTTGAATATCTTTTTTAATTATCACATTTTTAATATTTATGTTTTCTTGTCTTTGCATGTAAACATATTATCTTCATTCTTTATTTAAGTTCACGGTTGGATTTTTATGATCTCCAACATCTACGTTTGAGCATGAATACACTGCGTATAAAAATTTACGCATATAGGGTATGTTTGGCACAGTTACCTGAAAAAATACTTTTATAAACTTTTAAGTAACTGTTAGCTTTAATGACTAAAAAGATCTTAAAAGAAAAAAGTGGTTACTGTTTGATAGAAAACTGACTGTTTAATGTAGTTATGTTTGATATACAAACTACTGGGACTAATTAATGCTAGAAGTTACAGATTTGTCTGAGATGCTACTCACTGTAACATCCAATAAAAGATCTTTTATTTTTATAAAAGCTCATAAAAATGGCATGTCAAACATATAACTAGAAGCTTTTAAATATTTTTTAAACAGTATAAAAGTTACTCCCTCCAAACAAGTTCACCCTTTCCTTTTTGGGTAGTCCCTGAATGAAGTTCACCTTTCCTTATTTGGCAATTTATCTATATCAAAACAGTGCCAAACAGTGTGAAACAGTGTCGAAACAGTGCCCAAACAGTAAAATTTACCCTCCAGTAAATTTCTTTCCTTAATATGTGTGAAAAGCAATGCTCAACTTCATTTGGGGACGGAGGGAATACAAGACAAGGACTTGTGCTTGCCAAACATAATCATAAACTTATACTAGTACTACGTAATAACTAACATTTCAATAATATATACTCTGTATTACAATGAAGTTTTATAATACTCCGTGATAAAACTTATTATAACTAACATTATAATATTTTTCTTTGAGAATAACTTTGAATGTTCAATGTATCTAACCTTAGTGGCCAATTTTATTTCCTCTTTGCCAAAATAGAGTAAATTACTTGAATAGGACTAAAAGATGATATAAAATCACAAACAGGAGTAGTAATTTTAAAATGTCAAAATGAGAGTTTTTTGTGATTGAACAAAAATGCACATGCCACCACCTTCCACTACCACCCTCCCACAGATTCCGGCCGCCTCTGCCGTCGTCACCGAACAACCCTGCCACTACTGGACTACGTCACCACCAACGAACTACCCCGGTGCCCAAGGGAATTAGGAGGGCATTTAATTAATTAGATTATCGTAGAAAATTAATGTTTAATCCTATTTGTTAAAGAATTAAGTTTTAGTTCTATTTATGCAATCATGTTTCAATTTAGTCCTATTTATGGTAATTAGTATATCAAATAACCCTGGTATTAATTTCAACTAGTCAAAATCCTAAACTTTTATGCATATGTATTAAATTTAGTGATGCTTTTAGAATGTTTTCATTTGGACTGAAATTTGTTGGTCTGGTTTGATCTGGTCTGGTGAGCGTCTGGTGTATGAGTATTTTTTTAATACGGAAGTTTGGTCTGATCTTTCAGTCCAAAAAAACATTCTTACTATCTTAGTAGTTATGGAAGATCTAATATCATACTCCGTATTAGAGTTTTTAGAGAAAAGTGTCAAATAGGGCCCCCTACTATAATGAAAATGTCAATTAAGGTCACCAACTAAAATATCATCCAATTAAGCACATGAACTTGTAAAAAATGGTCAAATCTGTCTTTTACCAGGTACAGAACCGGTCACTGACACGTGGCATTTTCCATTTTCTTTTTCTTTATTTTTCTTTCTTCTCTCCTTCGTTCCTCTCTTTTCCGTTTCCTCTTGCTTCGCCTTGTGGGTTAGTACGTCACTGCCTCCCCGTTTCCCAATTTTCTTTTGCTTTCATTCTTAATCACACCCCCAAGATACCACCGTTCCCCACTTTTCTTTGATTTTTGAATTTTGACATACCATTTATTTAATCCATGGATCAACAAGAAAAATAAGAACAATAAGAACAATAAAGGAAATTATAAATTGACGGAGAAGATTTCATGAGACGGAACATTGGTAAGAGAGGATGACAACGTTCGGTGAAGATGACTGGAGCTCTCTTTGTCGGCAATTTCGCCGGAGAAGACGACCGGAGCTCTCTTTGCCGGAAATTTCGCCGGAGAAGACGACTGGCGTTCGAGCCAACTTCTATGGCTTTGCCGGAGGTTGGTTGGGGGAAGAAGACGGGTTCTCGGATCTGACTGGTGATTGCAAAATAATGAAGGAAAGAGAGAAAGGTAAAGAAGGGAAAGGGAGAAAGAAAGGCGCAAGACAGGGGAGCGGGGAGTGCAAGAGAAGAAAGGGGATGGGGAAGAAAGAGAGAAAGAAAGAAAATAAGGAGGATTGTTGCCTACGAAAATAAGAGAGAAAGAAAAGGAAATACAAATAGCAAAAAGAAAAGGAAAAATACAAAATTGAATGCCACATCATACTTTTTTACCTCGAACCGGATTGTTACCTACTAAAATGTCACTTTGATTTTTTTTGATTGGTTCATGGGTCTAATTGGAAGATATTTGGGTTGATGCCCTTAATTGACATTTTTGTAACAGTAGGGGGCCTTATTTGACACTTTTCCCGAGTTTTTAATTTTTGTTGTTTGCAAGGAAAAGTAAATTTTATTCAAAAAGAAAGAAGTATAAACACGAAAAAGAAAACAACTAAAAGTGAAGAGAACAAGAAAAACTAAAAACACCCAACCCAAAGATGTTTATCCCTAGAAAAACCCCGAGTGATCACACAAGTCTTCAAAGTCCCGCGCGTGTCTGTGATCTTGTCTTCATAAGATGTGATCGTTGGTTGATTCTTCTCCATGTACATTTTAGTTTGAATGTTCAAATTACTTGTGGGCAAACAGTTTTCTCTCGTAACAAACAAAGCTTTTTCATTTATATTCCGATTTTCATCATAGTCCCAAAGGTCCTCAAGTGTCGAAATAGGAACTCTTTTCTCATTTTACGACATGTGACCAAGAAAATCATCCCCTGAGTATGTATTGAAAGGGTCGTCAAATATTCCCTCACAAGTAGAAGTTTCCGAATGATGGTTATAGTAGTTCACCCAAGAACAATCTGTTAGTCCAAACATTGACTCTGGTGCTTTTAACTTCTCATGAGAATCTTTCTCCAAAGTGACATGCGCGTCAGTTGCTTCCCCTTCTTCATTAGAACTCATCTTCAAATCATCTCGATTACCCAAAATAGAAATAAAAAATCTTTCAAATTCTTTGACCAGAAAACGAGAAAGAGAGTTCATTCCATTAGTCATAATAGTTTGGAAGAAGTCCTTAAGTGAATCAAGTCCAGGAGTTTGTTCAGGAATGTAGCCATCATCAATAGATAACAACTCCCCGGATTTAACACAAGAATTGGAGCGGTCTATGTCAGCTTGTAGCAAAATTCCCAAAGTAGAAAAGTCATTACCAGTATTTGAAATAGTTTTTCCCAACCAATTAGATAGGGGGAGGAGATCCCTCGCGAAATCAGCATAACCAGATGAGCCATTTCTCGGTGCCTATACTAGTAGAAGCTTAACATCAATTTGATTTATCTTATTAATTGCTCTCGCAATCCCTGTCACAAAAAGGTTAAACCCCCGATCATTCCATCCTTCAGGGAATCAGGTATAAAAAGAAGTATATACTACGTATAACATACTCCGTGGTTGAAGAAGCGGGTGTATACAAAGTTTTGAAAATACCTTTTGTTACATAAATAAAGAAGAACGTGTATGAAAATAGTTAGAATTGTCCTCTATATAACTTCGGACCATTCAATCAGAAAACAACTTCAATCTTAATCATTTTGATAGTTATGTAATTCAGCAAGTGAAATAAAAAAGTACGTATTTGATAGGAAAATCGGTGACAAAACTGATAAGCCAAAAATAATAATTTTATTTTTTCACTTAAATCAATACCCAAACAAATAACTATCAACAAAATAATCATTATATTTATAACTTATAAATACATGCTCAGTTTCTTTATCTTTATAATTATATAAAGTGAATATTGCTAGCTATCATTGTTCTAAGCTGCCTGCTTGACAATTTTCGTGCTAATTTATATCATTGTTCTAAAACTCGCTAGGTGCTGGTCGGACGGTTGTGAGGCGCCTAGCGTCTAGGCGGCTGACTAGGCCAATTTTTTTGACCATTTTGATCAATTTTTTGGTCGACTAGGCCGACTAGTCCACTACAGTAAGGGCCGACTAGGCCGAATAGACCAATTAATCGGTCCGACTAGGGTGATTTTTAGAAAGTGCTTTATATGCACTCCATTGACAAGTCATTTTCTTAATGATAGTCATTGGGGGTTCAAAATGTTGATGTCTCGAATATTAATTTACGAGGTAGTGTATAAGGATAATCAATTACGAAATCAAATCATGTATCAAATACGTAAGCTACTCAAGTCTTAATGTGATTGTTTTAAGAGAACAACTATCTATAAATGAAAGAAGAAAAAAATTAAACAAGAAGAGCAGAGACATACAAGAAACAGTCATGTGATCAAGGATAAGGAATAAATCAGAAAGATGGCATTGAGTAATTATTCATGCTACAAAAGAGCAGAGCCGGACCACTTCTGGGCCTATGGGTGGCACGCTATTCTGAGCCTATGACCGTATACTTATATATTTGAAATAAGGATTATAATAAAAATTTCCAATGAAGTTCATAAAATAAAGTCAAAAATCTCTTTATTATTATTATTATTATTATTATTATTATTATTATTATTATT